ATTTTTCTTATATTATGTTTATTGGAATAAAATTGTGTGAGATGTGGACATCCGTTACATGTTGTGTAGCAATGCAGAATGATTTTGTGTCTGTCTGTCTCTATAGTATCTGTACTAAATAGTTGATGAAGATGACTTTAACTGTCAGTGCCACCCCCCCCCCCAAAAAAAAAAAAAAAAAAAAAATCTTTCTTAAGTTTGCTACTCATTGTGCTCTGTGGTTGGTTGTCCTTCTATTAATGTCAGTTTCGTACAAAAGAAATAATAAATATGCTGCAGTTGACCACAATATTATGTTTGACTTTTCCTGAAAGGCAGCCCATGTTTAATATTCTTTAGCCTCCTAAAACCTAACCCCAACACAGATCTGCATACCTGTATTTGTGTAGAGGTCACAGATATCAGGTCATTTTTCAGCTAATAAGTTGTTTTTGATGTCAAACACTGCAATACAATTGTTATTGGTGAAAATATCTGTTTGCTAGTAGTTTGGATATTGAAATTTATACATAAAGACAGGTCTGACTACACAGTGAATGCACTTGCAGAAATGCAGAAACTTTGTATATTAACCAGATGCTTGGGGCTTCTCGACAGTAGAAGGTAAGTTGACTGTAGTGTCTACCAATTTTTATTTTCTATATCGTTCCTTGTATCTTGATTACATTGATAGAGGAAAAGAAAGGAAAGAGCCAAGAATTCTTTTTCCAGAGAATATTTCCAAAGTTTCAGCTGTCCTCCAAGCTCCAAGAAAGAAATTTTGTACATGAAGAAGGGTTTCCAAAAGATAGTGAATCTGTTGGAAAGTGGATCTGCGTGCAAGTTTTATTTCATAATAGTTCATAATTAAATAAAGTTGTATCCTTAAACACGAAGATGAAGTTAATGGATGAAAGATCTTTGCCTGCTTGTAAAATTCCAAAATTGGACAGAAAGGATTAGATAAGCCTGGTCACGACATTAACACTAGACAAGGTTGAAAAGTAAAGTAATTTCCAATTTTCTGAATTGGTTTTATAATTTTTTTTTTTTTTATCTATCTGTAATGCAAACATGCTGCCAATTTTTCAGTTGTAATAAAGAAAATTTCAAGACCTATTTCCACTGTTACAAAATTACTCTCTTTTTCCAAGTTACCAAATTTTTTCACCTTCTTTGTTTTCATGATACCTTTTTTTTCAGCAGTGTATTTTGCATGAAAAGGTGACTGGAATCTTCAGTGGCTCTTGGAATTGTATAAGAAGTTGAATGAGAAATTACTTCTTGGATGCCAGTAGGAGACTATCATGTACCAACCAAAACTCATCATCGTCTAGTAAGTTATCTCCAAATACAGGAACACACTGTAAGGCGTTAAGTTGTTGGTGGAATCCGAGTCAAGGCTATTTCCTCAGATTAGGAGGTAGTTTCAAACTAGTGGCTGCATATTCATTCAAGATAGACTTTCTAATCATTTAATTATTAAAAGCAAAGGAGGAGTAAATGAGGAAGGAAGAAAAATTAATCAGCTAATAATTGCAGCAAGGTACTAGGACCTATAATCAAATTGTTGTAATTGCCATACTGAATAATTTTAAAAAGGTAAATGAAATGGTAGATTGGTTAGGAACTAACTAAGCTAGATTACAAATCAGACTTACCAAAAGGATAATCCAGTAGTATTGCATTAAAAATAGTTCCAGTTAAATAGTAGAGGGGCTATTACATACAAATATACTGATTTAGTTATAGCTGTAGGAAGTTTATATTTTTAATAACAGTTAATTTTGATAACAGTTAATGAAGAGTGAGCACACAAGATACAGTTTTCCTGTGGAAAGTCCTTTGACTTGGAATCCACACCTGAGATTGTAACTTAAGAGCTTTGTCTTAATCATAGCCTCTTCTTATATTGTTCCTTGGTTATACTTATTTACTTTCATTTTTTCATATCAATACAAAACACTGAAGTCAGATACAGATGAATTCTGTTATATGACATGCTTTTTCACTATTGTATAAAAGAAACCTAAAAAGCAATTATCCCGTTTTATCCTCAGTCTAATGGTCAGTTTGTTAGAATTGTGTGAGGTCAGACTCAATTAATATTCATATATATGATCATGCATATGCACAGAAAAAATGCATATCTGTCTATTTATCTGATACATATACATTTATATATCTATCTGTCCAGTAAATATGTATGTCTAGAGTGATAGATGTGTATTGATTTGGGTATATATGCAGGTCCCTATAACGAATGTTTATTGGGTCAGGCCTCGCACATTTTAATAAAGTCCTATTACATACATACATTTTGCTTAATAGTGGTGGAGGACTTTGGCTTGATTTCTTGTTTCACAGGTTTGGCCTTAAGCTAGGAAAGTGCAGAACATGGACTCGGAAATTAGAACCAAGGTACGCAGATTTGAGTCTTACATGAGTGCAGGAAAAGGTTTTTACATACCTTGCAGTTATTGTTATTGTCCAATGCTTTGTGTGCTTTCTTATATGGTCTTGATTGCTGAATTAATCATATGTTGGGATCAAAAAGAAGAGATTTTTAGAAAAGTGCATTAAGATGTTAGATTTCTGGTCTTGTTTATTTTCAGAGCCATATTATGTTAAAAGAACTATGTTGTACTGAAATTCTTTTCCCAGTAAGGTTCCTACCAATTTAGATTTTGTCATTTTAATGCTGCTCAGAATGATAAAATACAAAAGGTTTAAATCTGTACCAATTGTTAACTCTAATTAGTCTAGACAATTCTATGTTAACTATTTCATAGCTTGATTGCAGCTCTGAATTGATTTTGCATGAAAGTGAGTCATCCATTTAATAAAGTACAATCATTCAACAGGATTTCTTTGAATATTTTATACATAATTTAGTAAAAGATCAGATAAATGTAAGTCATAGCAATTAGTTTGGATATGTCATTGTAACTTGAAAAGTAATTCTTTCCAGGTCTTGAGAGCTAAATTTGTATCAGTTTTTCAGATTCAGATTCCTTGGACTTAATGAACAAAAAGGCAAGTAGTCAGCTGAGGACTGAAATTGTCGCTGATCCTGAGAACCTATACAATACATTTTCTTTCATAATAAATTTCACACATATCAGTATTTTGTAAAATATTTCGTGTGTTCATACCATGAAAATGAAATTAGATTAATGTTCACAATGACTTTATTATTTTTTTTTTTTTACAGTTTGCATTTATAGAAGGAGCTGAAAAATAGAATATAAAGATCTAAAATTTATAGTTGATTTATGTTACTAAAGTTCAGTAAATCATTGTCAGTTTATAGCAAGTTAGAACTCTTTATATAGATTTCTTTTCAGATGAAGGCTTGACTTTATTTGAAGAGATGATATTATATAATTTTGTAGCACAATATTTAATGAAGCTTCATTGCACCCTGCCTTGATCATTGTACTTCAGTGATCTGAAATAAGTTTATTCTGATTAAGGTTATTTTTAATTAACTGCATGCATATAAATACATCATAAATATGCAATACCGCATGCAGCCGGAGCCAACATTGATGCTTATTTTCAGCATACTTTATTGCATTTTTCCATCTTACATATGGAAAACATCAATAAGTTAGTAGTCTATCTGGGTATCTGAACATATCTTGAATGTGTATGAAGATTGTAAAACTTTGCTCATAGTATTCAAGTACAAATTGGTAGATAATGTCAATGGATATAATATACTCCAGTTAGACTTGTTTTACAGTTGATTAGACCCTCAGAAATTAACTCATGTCAGACTGCCCAGCAAGAAATTCTAGACCTAGAAATTTATATAAGTAATACAGAAATTGTCATCTAAAAGATAATGGTCATGAAATATCTGAACCCTAGAAGTTTTAGACTTGGACATCAGAAAGAGGAAAAAACTTGGCCTTGGACTAAGACTTAGATGAGGAGGACTTGATTAAACCAGTCTCAGTCTTTGACTTGCTAATTTTGAATATTTATGATGTGAATGTGATCAGCACCTTTTCCCTTGCAAACAGAATATAAGAATTGGAATCATAAAAAGATTAAAAAAAGGATATAAGATGTTAGGGATATGTTTTTAGGGAAAAATAAATCTATGAAAGCATAAAGCAAGGAAGGGTTATGTTAATGAAAAGTAAAATATAGGTTAGGTGTTCCACAATATTTTATATCTGAGTGTTTCTTAGTATTTGATTGTGAGGAAAAGGACAGATGATTAAGATATGGCCTATTCTTGATAGAGCATTATTTTATCTGAATTAGAAGATGAAAATACAAACACACTTTTAAAAATGGTACTGGACATAGATTTCATTCATTCATAAAAATACACAATTTGCTCCTCACAGATGGTACAAGAGATATCTGTGTAAAGAAATACCATGTACAGGAAAATTTTGTAAAGCTGCCCAGTATGAATAGATGACAAGTACTGAGAAAAGGAATGAAAAGGAAAACAATTTCAGAAACATAATGCAAAAGTTATGATTGATAAGATTCAAAAATGGGTGTAAATAAAGATGAATTCTATCACATCACAAGATTTTTCCCTCCCTCATTCTGATGCAGGTCAAAGTTTCTCATCTTCAAAATTGTTTCTTGGGATCAAAGCAGATCCTGTTGATTAGTATTATATTAACCACCATGCAGAGTAAGCATGTGCTCATTGCCTCAAGTAAAAAATGGCCCTACATGTATTTTTGCTATTCCAAAATTACAGCAGATCCTGATGCAAATGTTTCAGCAAAACAGCGGTACACAGAAAAGTGGCCTCATGGTAAATGAAGAAATGATTAAATGAGATAGAAGAAAGTAGATTGTTGTTGGTTTAAGTAAGACCTTATGATGGCTTTATGAAGTACAGGTGCTGAAGCATATATTGTTAGTGAATCATACAGTAAGTTTCAATTTAAAAGATAATATTTCATTCTAAATTTAGTAAACTTTTTATTTATGATTACACATAGAATGACTGCCATAATCTTTCTAGTATTTAGGGCTTTTAAAGAATTTACTTTGGTCCTGCTGTTGGTGACTTAGATGGCCATTTGTGTGATCCAAATCAGATATTAGTATATGGTAGTAGGTATTTCTGGACAAGTGATTAGGGAGATAGACCCCCCCTGCAATAGGTAAAGAAGTTGTCTTTTTAGGAAATAAATACATGCTTAGATATTGGCACTTTAGCAACTCTAAATTATTGATTACCCATCAACTAAGGTCAATTTAAAAGTTGTGGTAATCTCAGTTAAGATTTAAGTAGTTAGTTCAAGCAAATTGTTAGGTATCTATAAACTCTGGCAATTTACATTACTAAGTTCCTTCTACAAACCTATCCTTATGAAATATCTGTATGATTTCAAGACTTCATTGTCTAGCAAGTGGGTTTCACCCTGTAGGTTTTAAATCACAAACCAGCATAGTTTGCCTCTTCATTTGAACCCATAGATGATAATATATATTGATATCAAATTTCAGCACCCATTTTCTAGAATAGGCAAACAGTCTGCATGTTTATTTCCTAACTTTGATTAATTTCTTGTAAGGGACTGTGTAATGATGTGCCTATATATCCCCATCCCCCTTTTTCTCATAAGAATATAACACCTGAGTTTACAAAATGATTTTTTTTTTGTTTTTACCAATTGTGGAGTACACAATTATGCTCTTAATGGTCATATGCTTAAAGGAGTTGTGGAATACAATCTTTGAAGGACAAAATCATCTACAAAGGAATAGTACCACAAAAAATTAACTTGTATACCAAAATAATGCAAGAAGATAAGAACATTTTATATTTGAAACTGACAGTCCTTAAGTTATGTTAAGACTTCTTCCAGTCATGAAGATTCTAGCATAAGCAAATTGTGTTAAGAACTGATTTGCATTACACAATTTCTTTAAGCATACAGCTATAAGTTATAGACTTTTGAGGGATAGTAACTGCACCTTCCCAGAAGCTGCAAATATGGACAATCTTTTTGTATGAAGTAGGGAGGGAAAATAACTTATACACTTGTGCATTTTCCATATATTCTTTCAGGTATATGCTTTCGAAGCAAAGCAAGTGATTCTCTCCAGAAAAGGCAAAACAGTGCATATAATTTTCAGAAGCCCAAAATTAGTAGATTATAGTTCGGTTGCAGTTGAATTCTCTTTCCAGCAAATGAAAGAACTTTGAAATAAGATAAATGAAGCTGGAGTTATTTATCCCCTTACTTCAAAAAAATGACAGAGAAAAAACAATTTAAAGTCTGATACTTTTTTCTTATTATTTTTACTACTAATTTTTTTTCCTACAGTGCTAACGTTACTTATGAGAAGAAAGATCAAAATGTTTACCTTGCAGTGGTCGGTCAATTTGCTTGTTATATAATATAAATTATAAACAAAGAATCATTCAAGAAAGACGTATTTTAAGGGTTCCTTAAGTACCAATAGGAAATATGTGAAATAATGACAATGATTAATGACAATGAGTGAAAAGCTTTTACAAGAAACATGAATATAAGAATGAGTGAAAATCTGGGAACAGATAGTTGTTGCACAAAGGAAATATAATTTGGTCCAATTACTCACAAGGATTTTTTCTATGCATGCATAAAAATGCCCATTCCTGCCCAGAAAATCCCCGTGAATGCTATATGTAATTTTTTTTTTGTCTGTGAGCATGTTTATATTTATATTTTTGCCTGTGAGCTTATTTTGTCTGTGTGCTGACAGTTATGTATACTTGCAGTAAGTAATGCTATGAGTTGACTCTCTAGTTTTGTGATTATGAAGCTTTTATCCTTTTTCTTAGAATACATATACATTTATATCTATGTGTCTATCTATCTATCTGTCTATCTATGTATCTTGCTATCTCTAATTTCATTTTGTTTTTTCAGTTTGCCTTTGTTCATAAAGTAATTAACAATTATAGGAAGTGTGTGAAAGTTTTCAACTTAAAATATAGATATTGAAGCCTTATAGAAGTTTATAAAACAAAATGAAGCTGTGACAGCTGTATTTTTTAAGAAATAGCTTCAGGGTAAATATCTCCTTATAGGATGAGTAACATTCAAATATGATGTTTTATGCCATTTCATATTTTACAAAAAGTTGCTTTATGATTCCAAACATTTTATTTGATATGAATAATACAATTATGAGTAATCAAGTTTTCTGTGTATCTAGATATACCATATATGCAGGGCACAATTTATACAGAAGCTAAATAAGCTATAGATTAGGGCTTCACATTTTGAGGGATCACAAAATTTTGATGAATCTTTTATAATTATTGTGTATTGCTTTTATTTGAGTCATTCCTTTGTTTATGTTATTGAGAAAATGATATAACCATTTTCAAGCTTTACAAAACCTTTATTTTCACACTTTTTATGGCTGATGGCCAAATCCAAATTTAGCCCTACATATGTGGCAATGGGTTGATTTGCTGTATATAATTGCATTTATATGAGTCATTCGTTTGTTTATGTTATATGAATAAATATTTGCATTTTCAAGCTTTCCAAAACCCTTATTTTCACACTTGACAAGAGCCTCCTATCTTCATATGGCTGAGGGGCAAGTCCAAGTTTAGTCCTGCATATGTGGCAGTGGGTTGATTTGTTGTTTTTGCTTATATTTCCTCTGTGTCAGTTTCCTTTTTTTTAATCCCAAGTATCACTCAATTTCAGGATAAGGAAGCTCTGTGGTTGCTCCAATATTTCCTCTTTTTGCTTTACTTTGCTTTCATCACTTTCTCTCTTCTTTCCCCTAATTTCTCACTTGTCATTCTTGTCTCCTTTTTGTGGCATTTTTACTGAAATCTCTTTTCAAGATACCAGTGCCAGCGAATTTTAAGACTCGATGAATACTTTAGATCCTCTTTTCCCATATTTCCCCTAGTCTTCTTATTCCTCTTCGATTTTTCCCGACTTCTTGGTTTTCTCTGTAATTCCCTTTCTTCCTTCTTTTCTGCATTCCCCCTCGAATTCTTTCTCCCACAATAGGTAGCTTTGGCAACTGTGATCAAAATATAAGACCATGGATGTTATTTGTTCATTGATGGATGTATCATGGCTTTTATATTCATTTGAGTATTAGTTTTATTTCATTTGATTTTGTATCATCATATTTTGTGTTATCTTTTTTTATTTTGTCACATTTTGATTTCATTCTACTTTGTGTACATGTGTGATGGGTGTTAATTGATTCTTAATTTATTTTTTATAATTATATAGATAGATAGATAGGTATAGATATAGATACAGATTACCTTTTATTTTATTTTTTATTATTATTTTTTTAAATCTTTATTTATTGGGGGGAGGTAGGTGGTGGTGTTACCTACAAGCAAATTAAAGCTGTTAACCCAGAAAAATACAAGCAGATGGACTATCAGTCATAGGCCATCTGTAAAAGGTTGTGCTAATGAGATTATTCAATAATTATATACTCATGGGTATATTTGTAACTGTTCATAAGCCTTTGAACTCATTAGCTCGTTTCACAAATTATAATATTGTCATTTTCTAATTTAGGAGGCATTTCTCAGTTTACCTAATAAGTTGGATTGTGATGTTAATTAATGTTAAATGATAACTGTCTAATGGTTACTTGTTAATTTATTGACAAACAGAATATAGTGCTCTACTGGTATAATAACAATGAGAATAATTTAGTTTTAGTCCATTTGTTACAATGGTTATTCTATGCTTTTAAATTACCCTGTGTGCAAGGAATGGCTGGGATTCTACCCACTGGCAATGTGGGATTTGAACACAAGCAAGATTAGCTTTGTTAAACAACTACAACATAGAACTGGATCAAATCTGCTACCTATTTTTCTTTTTTTTAATATCCAGCTGACTGTGTATACATTCAGTTATCCACCATAAAGACTTTTAACTGGTATTTGAAATTTCTCTTTGAGGACAGTAGAAGAGAATTATGATTTATAAAAGTGAAGAGGACAGTGACTGACATTTTCAACTTGTGTCTGAAATGAAAAAAACAATGCAACATGCAGCTGTCCTAATTCAGTGTCTGTTACTACAAAGAAGCATTAGCTGTAGTATCTTTGTTAATTCATAGATTTACTCTTTCCATGAAGTATTTTGTACATTCTCTTATGTAGTTGAGCTTTCTCTGTATTTAATATGATTGTAATAGAATAGACCATACAGTTTTAGTTCACAGCGAAACTGCAAAGTGATGAAATATCAGGGTAGCAGCCATACCCTCATTTAGTGGCTGAATATAATGTCTACTTTTATGTTTCCTTTTCTTTATTTGATGCTATTGGAATAAAGAAAAGTTTTTGTTTGTGAAAGGGGCAGACAGTCATAGGCATATATAATTACATCTGATGATACTGTCCTCGGACCAGGAATTCACAAGGGGTCTACAGAAAGGAAAATCAGTTTCTTTATTGTTTAGCACTAAGTGTCTTGCAATAGTAACTGTTTTGCAATAGGTGTTCATATCACAAGTTATGTCACAGAGTTATAAGATTTAAACTTATGACCTTTCAATCTCAATACACATATTATAATACCAATGCTAAGCAATGTATTTGCTGACATCAAATGTTGAAGCAGTAGGAAAAGATATCAAGAGATATTCCAGATTCAAGTGATTCAAGTTTCATTCATTGTGTAAATGAAAAAGTTGTGTGGGCAAATGAAAATAAACAAAGAAGTGTAATATTTTACTAAAAACAATGATATTGTTTGGTTTGCTCAGGGACCCATCATGTGTGTAAGAGTAATGTGGTCCACGGGGTATGCAATGGTTCAGTTCAGGAAAATTTTAACTCATTCAGTAATGAATAAGGTCGACACTGAGTCAGATGAACAAATCTGGGACTCTATCCGAAAACCTCCCACAGCTCGACCACTGAGCCATACCATTCTTCCACCAACACTACTTGATAAATTTTTTATTTTTTTGTTTGGAAAGACAAACACAATATAGATCTGCTTTTTTTGATTGGCCGCTCTCTCTCTCTCTCTCTCTCTCTCTCTCTCTCTCTCTCTCTCTCTCTCTCTCTCTCTCTCTCTCTCTCTCTCTCTCTCTCTCTCTCTCTCTCTCTCTCTCTCTCTCTCTCGTTTCTTTCTTTCTCCCTATAGTCAATTCTTTGTCATGGGCACACTCCCCTCTAATGCAGCCAGGGTGTGCCACTTACACACTTGCGAGTTTCTTAATTTTTTTATCCATTTAAATTCTAGTCAAATACTATTGATCTTGGTCATTTCAGATCAGCTTAAAATCATGTGATTGGCTGGAAAAAGAAAAACATGAGAGAAATAATGGAAGAGAAAGCATGCAATTTGCCACCTTGCCTCATAAATCATAATGTTTCCCATTCCTTCTCTCTCTCTTTGTTTTCACTATCTTTCCAATTATCTCTCTATCAGCCCATTGTTACATCTCACCCAACTCACTGCCACTCACTATGTTGACAAGGAGCCATGCAGACAAAACCATACAGGTTGACAAGGGGTCTGTGCATTTACCAATCTACGGAGAGAGAGAGAGAGAGCGAGAGAGACATTGGTCAGCCAGCGAGGAAGAGAAATAGAGACAGGAGGAACTCATGATGCCTTCATTGGATCCAATACTCTCATGGTCATAGGGCCAAGACCGCAATTGGTTGGTGTTTTAGCTGAAAAGGGGTTTGTTGCAGAAGGGAGTGATTTTTTTTTTTTTCATAAAAATTTTCCTGAACTGAACCATTGCATGCCCCATGGACCACGTAACCCTTACACATATGATGGGTCCAAAGGCAAACCAAACAATATCACTGATTATAGTAAAAAAATATCAATCATTTTGTTATTCTGTAATCTGGGCTGTGAATTGTAAAGTTATATGCAATACAATGGCTGAATATATATATCGGTAAAAGGAAGGGATGGCAACTCATACATTTAACTGAGCAGTTTTCATTGCACAATGAGCCTAGTCGTTGTGACCCTAGGACGTTGTTTACATCATTCCTGCTGGACTGCTACATTTTTTTTTTTCAAATTTGGACTATGGCCTACAAAACAGACTAAAAACTGTATCTAATTTAATTGCTCCAATCAGTTTCAAACTTAAGACACTGATGATGGTAGTGGATAACTATTGGACTGCACTGCAGTTGCTGCAGCCAGAGGGAAGGTGTCCTGCCTACCATGGGAGTGTATGTTTTTGGCACAAACCATACTAGTATGAAAAAAATCATAGTAGTACGATTTTTTGCAAAGACAGACTCAGAGATTGGATCATAGGTAATGATAATAATTATAAGTGAGCCAGTGTTTTCTTCATGCTAGTAGAATTCGTGGTCGAGCATCTTTAGTCCTATTTTGTAAGTACAAGTTGTCATCGGTCGTAGAGTCTCGGTCATCTATTTGAAGGTAGGTGTCATACACAATCACTTTTACTGAAAAATTAGAGAAGTTATGTTCAAAAAGAGGTTAACTTGAAACTACACAAAGGATTTTAACAAGTGCACACTACATGATTGAACATATAGTAATAATAATTACAATAATAATCTATAATAAAAGAGAGGTAGAGAGAGAGAGAGAGAGAGAAAAACGTTTTTGTCATCTATGCTACCATCGCACAAATTGCAAATTGGGAATCTATAGTTGTACTGCATTTAATGTAGGACTTTTTTGCGGGGGAGCTCTGGATCAGTTTGCCCGTGCAAGTGCTGTGATAATAATAATAATAATGATTGAACAATCCCGACCCAATGAGGAGAAATATTCCCTATCATCAGGGACCTTTCCCATGTTGGAGAGAAAAAGAAATACAGACGTAGAGACTGGCAGAAACACTATACAGAAAAATCTCTGCATGATTGGAAATATTTTCCATAGTGTAATGTTAATGATAATAAAGAAAACAATGATAATAATAGTAAATATAATAATAACGATAATAACTAGTATGCCCAGGGGCATACACCCAAGCAAATAATGAAAAAACCTTTCTCACCCCCTCTCCGACCCACCTACACCCCATCCCCATCCTACCACCACAACTCAACCAACTCACACCTGAACAGCTACAGAGGCGACAAACGGATAAAAATTAAAATTTTGGAGTGTTGCCTTAATGCTCAGAAGTCGCCTACCCCAAGAAAACACGCAGCTTTATATAAGCTTTCGAACGAGTGGTCAACCATATATTTCCATTCTCTAGATATTTTGTTTCTAAATTTGTCGTACCTCTATATGTATGTATGCATTTATGTCCCAATAACGGTCGGGTGGGACCCCCCTTGTATCTTGGCTTCTCTTGGGCCGATTCCAATGAAACTTGCTGCTCTTGAACATTGGCCCGACGGGGTTCAGACCCCAAAGATTTATGTTCCTTCCTAGTCTGGAACCCTTTTTTCTAGAACCCTCAAAACCCGCTAATTGGCATAACCCTGTATCTGCACTGGCCCCGGCTTCAGATGTAAGTTATTGGATCTGGTTTTACATATGGTGTACAGCACACATACGTATATTGTA